ATGTGTAGTTTGGAGCGAGTTTTTAGCAGACCTGGGACAGCGTTCCGCGCTCTAGAATCGTTGGCCATGGTGACACTTGAGGAGGAAAAAAGAAGAGGAAGTTTAGTGTTGAAAGTTGAGGTAGAAGGAATAGTAGGAATTGAAGAAGGAGATTGATTATGAATACAGTGGTCTTGAGTGTTGTTAGAGGTATGAGGGCAGTTATCACTTCCCGGTTGCCCACACCGTGGAAGGGTTCTTCTAGAGGTACCTGAAAATGAAATTGGGTTAGAAGTGGTCTTAATGACCTGGGAGCGTGACCGCAGTGCCCAAGGGACAACTGCTTGAGGTCGGTCACACACGACCTTTTTGTGGAGGATTTTTGACGTGTTAGCTTCGTTCTTCAAAGGACCTTACCGCCGGAGACGGATATCCGTGGGATAAGGCGAGGTGTGAATTTTTAGGATCGACCTTTTCTAACCCCACCCCTCCTTGTAGGAAGGCAGCATCGCTGTCATGCTGGTTGTCTGAAGGAAACACCTTAATGCTGTCACACCTCTGTACAGTCAGCAGTACGACTTCGCCTCCGGACCTTGGGTTTGCTGTTTTTAGTCTCACCGCTCTTCAAACGACCTGACTGGCATGGTAGGACCTTGAGGAACGATTGTTCCAGCCAGTATAGCTCGATTGAATAATCACGATAGGCAAGCCCGACCACCACGTCAAGGTAGCAGCAACGGTCGGGATAATTGATGAACACGGTGGATCAGATGCAGATGTGAGGGCAAGGATCGGCAAAGCAAGAGCAGCATATTTGCAACTGAGGAACATCTGGAGCTCAAAACAATTGTCAACCAACACCAAGGTTAGAATTTTCAATACAAATGTCAAGACAGTTCTACTGTATGGGGCGGAGACGTGGGGAACTACGAAAGCCATTATCCAAAAGATACAGGTGTTTATTAAAAGCTGTCTACGCAAGATACTTCGGATCAGATGGCCAGACACTATCAGCAACAAGTTACTGTTGGAGACAACAAACCAGATTCCAGCGGAGGAAGAAATCAGGAAGAAGCGCTGGAAGTGGATTGGGCACACCTTGAGGAAATCACCTAATTGCGTCACAAGACAAGCCCTCATATGGAATCCTGAAGGTCAAAGGAGAAGAGGAAGACCAAAGAACACATTATGCCGAGGAATAGAGACAGACATGAGAAGAATGAACAAGAACTGGATAGAACTAGAAAAGAAGGCCCGGGACAGAGTGGGTTGGAGAAAGCTGGTCGGCAGCCTATGCTCCATTGAGAGTAACAAACGAAATGAATGATGAATGAATGAGAGCGATATAACCACCACCAATGCCCCCGAATGCCTTGGTACGACCGAGAGTGGGAAGACTACGCTCTTTCTCTCCGAATGCTCTCACATGGCCACGAGTATATAACCATTGCAAGCTAAGTCCTACTCGCTGAGAGGACGAAAAGCGAATGTCCTGCGCTATAACCGGGTTGGTGGACACGAAAAGTCCACCTAGGGGAGTTGGAAAACCCTCATTACAAACCAATGGTGCACATGGGCTGTCTCCAGTATCCTTAGGGAACAGATGGCCTATGAACCAATTATTGGTCACCGGCTACTATGGGACTGCATCTCCTTACGATGCTCCACTGCCTTGTGGATCAGACCTTCAGGTCAAAGGCTCGGGGTGTGACACCTTAAAAAAACCACCTGCTTCAGTTTGGGCACCTGGGCAGTATCATAGCCCTCACACAATTAAATGAAATGACATTTTTGTGTGGCGTATATATATCTGATGCCCCCTTTAACCAATATTTATGTGTTCAAATAAACACATTAATTAAATGTATAATGTACTAAAAGATCGAGCAATCACTAAACATGTACAGGAACAGATAGACAACCATTTCAAAGTACCTAGCGTACTTAAACTGAACAGTCTCGACTAGTGGAATTTTATTTAGGAACCTAGTTAACAAGCTGTGGGTCAATAGTTTACGCTTTGCTTATCCGGTCAAGTTTTAGGCAATTAACTATCCGTAATAACATTCATACAATAGATGCTTCTTATAGTCCAGCACAAATATATACACAGTTAATGTACAACACCATTTACTAATTTACAGTTATTAAATTACCACTTAGCAAATGTTTAGATACGGCTGAAAATTAGATGAATTTAATCCTTCTGTAAAAGCTCATTAGACAGTGTACTTGAAACACCGTGGACTTGCAGGTGTAGGCATAGCACTTAGTGTGAGAGTAGAACAAGCACTATTAGAATGGATCCCCGTCAAGTCACTTGTGTGCTGTCCGACTAAATGGATTCGTAAGAACTCGGAAGGATGGGGAAACACGTCGTTGCCTTTTCGTCGATTCTGATTACGCTCTCACTGACAGCAGCCCGGATCAAGTGGAAGATGACTATTGCAGAAAGTTCGCAACTTCTGGGATCACCGGGTAAGTAATAGTGAGGTTAGACACAGGGTATTAGGGAATGATGGTAAATCAGTTGATGAGGTCATGAATCTTCATCAACTGAGATGGTTGGTCCACGTGTTACATATGCCTGAACATCGACTACCACAACGCGCTATGCTGACTAGCATTGGGGATGGTTGGAAGAAAGTTAGGTGCGGCCAAACCAAAACGTGACATCAATCACAAACTGTGGTCTGAATGCCTCCCAATATCGCGGTACGGTCGGGGACAAGGGGATTTTTTTACGAAATGCTCTCACATAGCCACGTGTATACAACTATTGCAAGCTAAGTCCTACTCACTGACTTATCGAGACAGGGATACTTGTTACGAAATTGAAAGGAAATATATCGATTAACCGGTGCTTCAACCGGGTTGATGGACACGGAGGATCTACCTAGGGGAGCCGGAAAAACCTGATTCTAATGCAATGGTGTACATGGACCTCAGGATCCTGAGAGAACAAATGGCATATGAACATAATGTTGGTTACCGGTTGCCATTAAACTCCATCTTCTAACATTGATCCATTGTCTTATGTATTAGACCTTTAGGTCAAGGTTTGAGGTATAGCTCCCCAAGTAAACCACCTGCTTCTGTTTTGGCGCACAGCCAGTATCCGAGCCACCACATAAATCGAATGATGAAGTGTGGCACATATGTATTCGGTGCCTCCTGTAACCAATATTTGTGCTTAAATAAATACATCTGATCTGAGCCATGTTGTTAGATACAGACTACTTGGTTGGGGTCCGCGTGACTATCGTAACCAATGATGGTTGGAGACTCTGGGTGACATGGCTCAGAATCCATCACAATGGCGTGGGTGTATACACTCCCTGTCTTACCTTTAACGGTGAGACTAAAATTACTTTATACCTTTCTTTCTTCGAACTAATTCCTTCTCCCTGTATTATATCCTTATATTCAACCTTTATTATACATATTACTACTGGGTCAACATCAAAACTACACTTTCACAACCATCTTTACACAGAGATACACATGATAAAAGGTAAGAGGTCGAACCTAAGAAAGCACTGGATGTTCATATTTTTGTTAACGGACACTAACTGAGACTTTACAAGCAACCAATAAAGGGGGTATTCCCATAAAAAATGAAGGGGAGATAAAGAGTATACACGCCAGAGTCTCTTTATTCGCCTATCATGGGAAAACAATGCGACATTTTACATTCTCGTCGCCCTATGTTTGAGATGTCGACAACTTTTCGCCTAAATAAACGCTAAGTTATCTACCTTTCCGAATTGCATTTCAAAACACGCCTGTTACCTGAGCTAATAGACAAAAATACTGCACACAATTTCACGTGATTATGTTTTAAAATTGCATGTTAAGACACGGTAGCTGATTCACGTAAGGTATAAGATAAAATTAGGCTTTTGGTTAGCTCTCAGTAACTAAGCTTAAACAATTCTGACGTCTAGTCCATTAAATATGCCATTTAGATATCCAAGATCCCAAGTTTATCGACCATATTATGTATATTTTTAGGTGACAATCACAGAAAACCCAACTAATAAGTCACCCGATACATAGTAGCAAACAGAACCAAGGGAAGTATATAATCTGTTTTCTGTACTCTGAAATAGGTCACTTACTTTTGGATGTCATACAGAACAATTATATTCTACACTTTATCTACAGCTAGTCTTGATTTGTGAATGGATCTGACTAGTGTAAGGGATGGTTGGAAAAGAGTTATTGGCAGCCAAACCAAAACGTGGCATCAGTCATTGAAGTCACTAACTTCTAGTCTGAGCCATGTTGGTCCGGGTGACTATCGTAACCAATGGTTGGAGACTCTGGGTGACATGGCTCACAATCGATTACAATGGCGTAGGTGTATACACTCTTTATCTTCCCTTAAACCTTGAGATTAAAATTGCTTCATAACGTTCTTCCTTCCTATACTATATCCTTATATACAACCTATCTTTTATATACTACCACCACCACTAATTTAACTACTTCTATGAATCCGGTGTTCATCTTGTTGTGCTAACGAGGTATGGCAACTTGGACTGATGCATAAATGTGCCCTGTCCTACATTGTAGCTGACTGACTGACTGGAAGTATAAACGTGAGATGAGAACGAATAAGCAAAGGTTGAATGAGAAGAATATTCTTCTTTTTATATAAAAAGTAGCACTAGATTTTGATAGTCTTTCTGGAATCAAAGTATAATCGCTTTCAAAACTTGGATGAAAGCAACTTTTGAAAAATTTACGAAAACATTTCGTTTTTATAAAAACGGTATTCTTTTAGTCACATATGACTATAATTATGGTCCACTTAAGTTTACTTGATTAATTAAATAATGTGGACACATTTCACAGGACACGAAAAGTCAGAGGCGTTTCACCTTGGTTGTATGCTAATATTGGTTAATTACATCAATATTTTACTATACTACGATTCTATTACTACCATACACGATACCTGGTAGATTACACCAACATTTAAAGCCAAGGTCCAATCAAAATTGCGTTCAACTCACTGCAAGATAGATCATAATCTAGAAATATATTATTCAGAGGTAAGAAACCTGAAATTCAACGTCAGGTGTAACCGCAAAGAACAATTAGATGCAAAGGAATCACTACTGAGCGTGAATTTGAATAGGTCCAACCAAATATAACCTTGTTAACCTACAAAAATATACAAAAAGTTATTTAAAAGCCAGCATATGACCTACTTGGTATATAAGATTTCGGTTTTATATTTGAACGCCCTTAGTCAGACGGATTAACTTTTAATGCTCATAAGTGCATGTAAACTCTGCCTTTGTACATCCCTTCACGTAGCAACATCTTGACGATCTGGTTAAAAGCACTTGATTCGGTTGGTCTTGCATCCTGATGTTAGGAAGTGCTTACGAACTATTAGAGTTTTTGAACAATACCTGTCTAGCTAGTATGCTCTCGTGGGATCTGATATGGGTGCTAAAACCGTATTTTGTGTTGAACCACTCGTGAAGAACTATAATTTGTAGCCAACCTTCTACTTTTACCAACTTTTCCGCTCATCCATGTATAGGCACTAAAAAGCAGAATATTCACTATATTGACGGTAAGCAAGTTAAACACATCGCATTTATTTTTGTGGATGTTTTTCTCACTTGTTTGTATTGTTCATTTTCATGATTTATCCTTACCTGCCAGTGTTAATATGCATGAGGGCGAATTAATTTGCAAGATAAATAGCCCTGTAAGCCTCTAACATTGACGCTGACCCCGTAGGTCCTACTGGACACACTCTAACTTAAAGCATGTGGTCAAGATGCCTGATCAGATCATCATTGTGTACTCCTTGCCACACATCCCTATCAACAAACAACAAGCAAAGGTCAAACACTTCTCAATATACCGCATGGCTTCTCAATATGACTTTTGATTCCTTTTTTCCTGAATTCTAGTTTGCCTGGGTTCGAGATCCCTCAGTTATGGAGATGTTGACGAAAGTGCAGTCAAACCCTTCATACCAGTGGCATCTCTGGGTTTTATATCTGCATCTTACTCTCCATTCGTCCCGTGAGTTGTGTAATGATAACTACCACAACCGCCCTGAAGGCTTCAAATCCCTGTACAGTGGTGGGGAAATATAGCTTCAACAGTGGAAGAGATCTGGTAACTTACAATGGTAATAATTTTTCCTCAAACAACGGTAAGTTACACCGGGCATGCCAGGGCACAAGGAAAGTTTAAACTCCACATAATCATTCGATTTATGTGGTGGCTCGGATACTGGCTGGGCGCCAAAACAGAAGCAGGTGGTTTACTTGGGGAGCTATACCTCAAACCTTGACCTAAAGGTCTAATACATAAGACAATGGATCAATGTTAGAAGATGGAGTTTAATGGCAACCGGTAACCAACATTATGTTCATATGCCATTTGTTCTCTCAGGATCCTGAGGTCCATGTACACCATTGCATTAGAATCAGGTTTTTCCGGCTCCCCTAGGTAGATCCTCCGTGTCCATCAACCCGGTTGAAGCACCGGTTAATCGATATATTTCCTTTCAATTTCGTAACAAGTATCCCTGTCTCGATAAGTCAGTGAGTAGGTCTTCCCCAGTGTACATAAGAACATAAATATTAGTAAAACCCGAATGTTGGAGCTCTCTACAGAAGCAGCGTGTGTGACGAATGACTTGTGAACGAAACTTAATTCAAGTACAGTTCATGTCTGTGTACATCATGAAGTAACGTAGTAAATGTATAATCAGTCAGTTAAAAATGCCGACTTCAACTAGTTACCTCGTAATTCATGATAGTGTTTTCCCAATAACAAATCAGACAGGCTTCTACTTAAAACAACTATAAATACTTCTGAAAAGTCGGAGATATTGATTTTAGTGCAGAACGAAATCATCTGCCCCATGCGTATGTTTCGGTAGTGTATCGCTACGGCGCTGAAAAATAGAAGGAAAGTGTGAAGAATGAGAAGAGGAACAGGCAATGTTCATAACTAGTAAATTTAAATCGTCTGCGATGGAAAAATAACGTTAGGATTACTCAGATACATTATTCCACTTATAGCTATGAAATTGCATTTAGATAGATTAAAAACAAGCTACTTGTATGATAATGAATGAGTAAAGAACTGTATGAATAAATAGGATTCTTAAACACTCAAAAATTTAAGACAATGTAAATCTTTGAAACACAGTTAGGAAAACACAGTGTTTTGGTACACAGATTACTTTTTTGAGTCGATTACTATTACTTGCTTGTGTTTATTATTTGCAGTTGTAACAAAACATATTTTTATGTACTCATTAAAAGCTCAACCTTCCGACAAATCAAGGCTATTGAATTTTTCCTTGGTATGAGTTCCAGATATTTTTACTTCGAACTTTCGATACAAGGCTTACCTTTACTCGCCTTCATCTTGTTAAGGTATTCGTCATACACCATAGAACGTTAGACTCACTAAAGAATTAAAACCAGAAGAGTAAGTAAAGCATATCATCTACATAGTCAAAAGCGGTTGCGTCTACGAAATCACGACCCACAAAATTTTATCACAGTGGCTCTGATTTGTAGTTTGCTCAAGTAAATCATTACTTCGTTGCGAGCAGCATAAACCTGAGGGATTTCGACAGCAAGATTTATGCTTCGCGATCCTTTATTTAGCCGCCGACGAAATCGGTGACCTAATTTTTAGACCTCACATGTCACAGTCGTTCATCATTGTAAGACGTGAGCGGTCATAAAGTTCGAGGGCCTTTCCGAAGTGTGTATTATCAAGTCACTACGACAACCCCTATGTCACCTTTAGATCAGAGAAATCGTTGTAGGTGGAGGAATCTTAAAGCAATTATGGATAATACCTCCCCAAGCTACGTCCAACATGTTCCGGATGCCCAATACCCGGACACCGCTTAACCACACTCAGCAGGTGTTGCAGATAGAATATTGGGGAGAAGTCCCCCTATAGGACTGCGGATGACACACCATACATATTTAACCCACAATAGAAAACCTTTAGCCATTTGATTTGCTTGTAGCATGAAATTAGTAGACAGAGTGTATTCAGACAATGAGCCTATATTAAAGCAATATTCATAAATACCGAAAACGTAAGTGAGTATAACATCACAAAAGGAGGCAGGATGGTATTACTGACCAGCAAACATGGTGGCGGAGAGATAACTCTAACCCATCTATGTCTGTAGAGCAGAATCTGTTGTTGAACTGAGGCTCCTTATAGTCAAGTGAAATGCTACGAACCAATGGCACCGATGCTAATTTGTTATGTGAAATACCTCTTTAAATCATGTTTGTACCACTGAATTAGTTCCACTTCCTACCGAGTGATCCTATTACAAGCAAAACTAGACAATTTTCCAAAGACGAAGTCTGCTCATGACCCTATAAAAGCTATAAAAATCAAAATGAGCTGAAATAGCTTCAACGGAAAAATGAGATAGCCATTTGTGTAAAAGAATACTGTCTTAAGTACTTTTTCAAACTACATATAGTCCTATACTTTCAGCCTCTTTTTAAACCTCCTCCATTCATACAGTTCTTTGTTCATTCATGCTATATAGAAGAATATAAGGTTATGATTTCTAGAGGCACTTGACTTTACGTAAATTTGTGAAATTATGGTCTATCTCAGTACTATTACTTCTATATTAGTAGATCTAATCTTAAAATTGTGGATTTGTGACGATGTGACTACCTAATGTATATGATATTACTTGGGAGTCACATCATTGTCTATTCTGACTCGTCTTATTTTAACTATCACCAATATATTTTGGAGAACATATTTGAGCTAAAGATAGAGCAATGTGCTTGATATGTAAAGAAGCGATAGGTTACACAAGAATGACCACACATTCAAGGCTGAGCATGCCATCCGATTGAACCGCGAATGAATGTTCCCGCGTTCACCAGTATTAGCCTTCTCTCTGTGCTAAACATCGAATACCTATTTCCATAGTTATCTTATGTTCGGCCTTCAGGATTGTATGGTTAGGATCAATATCACTGCATATTTATTCTCGACCATCCATTGCACGTCACGATGTGACTTCCACAAAGCGCACCAACTATCATATTCACAATACGAGTCTTACTAATATTATTTACATTGATATGTGAGAAGTGTCATTCCCCATGATTCTATGACTAGCGTATCTTATAAAATATCGACCTGAGTAACCTCACACATTGAAGACTGTGTTTTCTGTCACAATCTGATCTTGCCTGATAACTGGCATCATGGAACCACTCGGTGGTTGTAGGGCTCATTGCCGGAGATAAAAGTCTTGCGAAGACTGTCACCAAAACCCAAGTAGACCATAAAACAGAAGAAGGTCATCATAGCGACCAAAATCCAGCTCATGGAGCAGGTGACAGAAGTCTAGAGTATTCAAACAGTTCTGGTGATATCACTGGAAGTCTGGTACCCAATCAGCCAGTTAAATTCAATCCCGCCAGTACACCCTTAAGAATTCGGGAAACTAACAACCGCTCTGCTGGACGCGGCTACTAAGAAGAAGCACCCTAAGTACTCTTGCTTATGTTCAATATTGAGGTTCTAGCCTGAGATATGTGATGAGTGCAGGAGCTGCATTTTATGCGACTATCAGAAGAAAACCAAACTAGATCGACGACTTATCCTGTTACACTTCAAGCTTCCAATTAAACTTAAATAGCGATATTTAGACGGTGAACCTCGATATTAGATATGGCGTTTATGATACAATTCAATCGAGTGTTCAAGGTAGCTAATTTAGAGCCGACAATGTCCAAAATTGACGTTCTAGAAAAATATAAATTCCTTGTGAATAGAAAGAAACGCCATTTGACACTTGAAGACACTTCGAGTTCTAAACTCAACCAGTGCGAACCCTCAATCTTCTTCAAAACTGAAGAGGCGTTTGTATTTGAAAAACTCGGGAGACCAACAAACAATAAATCTAAAAATCGAGCGAGCTGGATTTAACTACACGTTTCAGTTCAGCACTGTTCGTCCCATTTGTCCCCAATGAGCATTATCTCAAGAGATGTTGTCAAAGAAAATTAATGGTGACCGGCTACCATGTAAGGGTTGCAGAGGCCTTAACCGTTAGTCTGTGCTTGATAGGTATCCAGTGCCACACACCTAATATTTCATAAACTCCATACGTGTCATAACCATATGCATTATAAGTGATTTAGTCAGGGGACATCACAATATGCCATTAGCTGAAAGATGTACTCCTAAGACAACTATTAATACACACTTCAGACTGTTTGAGTGTGCACTTCGTTGAAGAACGCTTAACAAATTACTTAAAGGTTTATAAACAGTTTGATTAGAGATATGTCTTTCACACGAAAATATATCGACTACTTGATGATTGCCGGTACTAAATTCAAATCACATGAACGAAGTGTTAAAGTCACGTTAAAGCGGTCAGATGAAAATCTAATGAGCCAACGTTTCTTAGTAGTTAAAACGTTATACCTTCCTAAACAAATTGAGTGCTAGGAGAGAAAACACAGAATGAAAAATATGTGGACATCATTAAGAACATTCAATACCATTTTCTTTACACAACCTGAAAGTTTTCCAGGTTCGACCAAATCTTATCGTCAATTCTTGCTCGACTGTTTACAATTAATCTAATCGTCGACAGATTCCCCTTGAGGGAAACCAAAATACTTTAGGCTGACATTTTAGTCTGTAGAAGCAATTACAGAGCTATATGATAAACTAGCGAAGACACCTATCATAGTTTAACGAGAACCTGATTATCTACTCTCCTTAATGATTAACTCTCTGGACAACTCATTACGTAATCTTGATCAAATAGTGAAAAACTTCTAGCAACCTACCACCTTCTCGAAAAGACTCACTTTTATGAAAAGGAAACACTCCGTTTTCCGTCAAAAACTTCTCGTGATTAACCTAGCCATCGGGCATATCTGAATTACTGAAATAAAAAGGATTGAAAGTTAACATAGATCATGGACCACTGATTAGTACATTGAAAACTAAGGTTGATAAATGCTTGCCTCGAAAAATTCAAAAAACCCCACCATATCTCAGATAGCCAGTGATATGCGACATGCAAGCGTTAAGGAAGATTCATTATCTTTATAAGAAATGAACATAAGTAAATATCGATTACAAAGTTTGGAGATTTATGAGAAAATTGTTATTAAATAACCCTCATCTTTTGTCTCATCCCCGCACGAGATCCGCTATCAAACTTATTAATGATTGGTGTATATGACTAGATTCACAAGAATGACGCATACGATTGGGTTACAAAGTGCTTGGATTTACAACAGAGAAGATTCAAATGTTATACGTATTCACACATCAAAGTGTTCTCATAGCCTGATTCACATCTAGCGCAAGACAATGTAGATTTGATAAACTCTTTTGATTTGTTACACCCGTACACATATTAATAAGTTTCCCAGTAGCCTTTTTAACTATAGACATCGAAGCAATGGCCGAAGCTTTTATTACTAACTACTTGATCACTTTTGGTCAGCATACTGCAATAACGAATGGTTGAGGAGCTCAATCCGAATGAGATCAGTTTGAAAACTCATCAAAACCTCTAGGCTCTAACAAAATGCATAGCATAGTACAACACTCCCAAACTAATGGAATACTAAGACGTTTCTACCGTCAATTAGAAGCTATCCTAGCATCGCATTCAGACCCATCCAATGAATATAATTCCAGTCATTAGTCAAACTGAAAAATAAGTTAAATTTCAAAACTGGTTCATAGCGTTCGGCAGCATAACCAGCCTTCGGGATAGCATTGAGACTACCAGGTCAGTCAATCAATCCTTTTGCTGAAAGTAATTAGGTTGACCTAGTAAGTCACGTGGACAAATTTCGAGATCAGATGTACATACGAAAAGATCAAATGAGCTCAACCGCTTTTCCGGCCCGATGAACATAGAGTTTTGGTTTAATCTTGAAAATTCATTGCATATATCGAAAAAATTTGATTTATTAAAATTCTTCTGTGTGTACTTAAGAAAAAGCTAAGCAAGCCAAATTTTCTGTACTCACTGCTTCTCCGTTTTATCTATTTTAAAAGCTATTAAATTGGGAGGCTTATGCACTTGTTTATATCGTCCTCAAACCTTTCATCTATTGTTTGTGAGCGTTATGATGGTTTATGTTTTTTATTATACTAACTGGGCGATTTACTTCATAGACAATGCAGACGAAAACTATAACGTAAAAATATGACATATTACTGAGTGCAATCACAAACGAACTAAAGACCATCAGTGGAGGTTACAGATGTACAAGCCGTATAAACACAAACGAAAGATGGAAATGAGGGTTTATAATATGCAGTTTACAGATTCAGTGATACAGTTCTGGGCCACGGCAAACATAGAGACCGGTTATAACTTTTTCGGATACATAAGATCGGTTTTCTTGGGTTAACCCAAATGTCTTCAGCTACGTAGAGTAGCCGTAATCTGGATACTTGAGGTAAATTCTTGGAACCTGATATAAAAAGAGAGAGCTTCATCTATTTTAATATGATATTCACTATCTACCAGGTGGGAAAGAATGATACTGTCAATCGATTTAGTGACGCCGTTCCCCAGTAGCAAACATGTTCTACTATTGTATTATTTGTGTTCTCTGTAATTTACACTTCTAATTCACTTTGTAAATTTATGTGTGAGTTTGATTGAGCGCATGTCTGCACAACAATCTCTAATATGTTTCCGCATTGGTTGTATGCAAAGACAATCAATGGTTTATCCACAATCCATTAACACCCATAAATATATATAGATTTTTAACACTCATACACACATATATTCACTCGTTTTCTCTGTGTGCTTGCTATATGTACGCTCGCGGATTTTAAATAAACGTTAACAACAAATTAGCTCTATAACTGGTGTTCAATCTTTTGAATAATCTCGAGTGAACTCATAATTGTACCAGGAGATTTAGCCCACATTAAATATTCAGTCAACGGGATATTATTTATTTATTGGAGTCAAATATAGTGGAATTAATCCTCCTCTATTTAACTTGCTCTGCAGAAGCGGTTGAATTGTTACACACATGGAGAAGCCCACAATCCGTAGCCAATCCTCGACTTGTTGTGCAAGTACTGGTTTGGTTGAAAGAATTATACGTAACTCAGCTGAATGAAACGTATTTCCGACATATTTTTTTAGTCAATGTGTTGAAATGTCACCTGCTATGTTCCCTTTAAAGTCCAGTCTCAGATACAACGATTTTTACCGACCGAGTGACAATTTCTTCTCTTTTTATAATACCCTCTAGGAGGAATTTTCTGGAGAAATTATCCGGGCAGACGTAATAAGCGGGCAATCAAGTACGAAAAAATTATTTGTTGGTGCAAATACTGCAGTATCACGGAACATAATGAAATGGCACACTCCCATTTTCCCTAAATAAGGTCAGTGTCTTGAAGTTGTTAGATCTTGACTGCACTGTTTGCGATGTTATTAATTAGTGCTTTTTTGTCACACAGTGACTGGTTCAAGATGAGGACATGGTGTGCAAAATAATTAAAGAGCTCGTTTTCATCAGAAAATATTAGTTAATAAAGGAAAATAGTCCTTATTGATTAATTACAATAGGACTAGCCAACTTGTCATAAACCTCAATCTATCCATCAGCTCGCAAACAGTTGCTGCCACAAAAGAATGCTACATAGAGCGACTAACCTTAAGGGTGACTTGAGGACAAAATAGGAGAGTACGAGAATAGGAGTTTTTAGTTTGACCTGACAATCATAGCTCTTTCCTGATATCATAGTTATGAAAGTGATTTATGACACACTCCAAATGTGACGGAACACAGAGTAGGGTGCGGCTCGGGAAATGTGTAAGCGGCCACCATATGACCACAACGCCGAATAAAAATATTGCTATAACTAAAACAAAGGTTTACAACAGGTTCTGTTTAAGCTCGAACTCTACTAAATTTGTGACTGAAGGGACATATATCGCCCTTCTACAAGCGAAAACTATTACGAAGAACGGATACTCCATATGTTATCAATATTATCACAGGTAAAATTCTATCAGTCCTATCGGCCTGAGCACTGTGATAGCTATCAGGGAGATGAAGCCGAAGTATAGACTACCCTTACTTCGAGTAAACGCAACCGTGAATGTCGGGTCTCGAACTCCGTTTCACAGTATCCAGCACTTTTAACCTGCCACATACAGAAGCCCGCAATATTTTCGCACTTCTGCGATTATTATAAGTATTTCAATTATTATACTAACTAGTAATCCTAGAAATAACGCAATTTAGACCAAAGAGAACTAGTACAAAGGAATCATTAGTTCATTCAAACACCACTACTGATTTTCTACACAAGTTGTTTGAATCTCTCTGAACAAGTATAGAGGGGTGTCACGATGTTTTTTAATAAGATTAGGAGTTAAACTGAACGAAGATACAACACAATATCAATTGCTATTCTTGTTAAAGCCTAGTCAAAAATGAGGCGACCTGATAGTGCTGTATAGCACACTAAGCACTCCTGAGCACCCTAAAAGGAACATCTTACCCGAATCTCAACATTTCATTTCGCTAGGCAATACACAAAGAATTGTACCTCAAAGACACGATGGCCAGGTGATATCACACCTCTTTTTAATAAGTGTCTGCCCCACCTGGAAAAGTCCTCTCAGCGGATGAGCTCATAGTGCTCTCGGAGGACAGGTTTAATAGGAGACTAGACAACCATCACTTACTGAAACCCATATCTTCTCTTCACTCCTCTACGTTCTGATTTCATGATCTGTGACTCTACAACAACTTAATCTTTTGTTTGTTAATATGATAACTCCTGGTCTTGGCAACACCGATGGCCTAGAATAAACATACCTAAGAAATATTAATCTTCAATTAAATATCGAATTCATATGAGGCGATAAAAAGAACTGCAACTATCCCGTAGGTTTAGAAAGAAATACCACAGATGTTGACTGATTTATAGAAGGTGGTCACAAATATATTGGATATTAGAAGATGCAGAAATAAACTAGTTGTTTCAAAAGCGGCGAATTCGGAAAAAGACGTTGGATTCATTTTACTGACTGTTTCGTCCTGATATTCTCAATTTCCCAAAGTTCCAAAGTTGTTTCGAATATCAGTACGCGAGCACTATGGGACAAACAGTAACATCACTCTGATTTAGCTGATGGTAAATGTTTACTGGTTAACATACGATACAATACTATTATTATTCATTTACGTGCTTTGAGCATCAACTGTCTATCTGTATGCCCTCAAAGTTCCAAGGTTTAATCTACCAATTTCGTTTTTGACTGTGTAGTATAGTTTTTAAGCATTCTAAATGTCATATTAAATCAAGCTGATAACATATATATAAGCTGGTTTATATAAACTAATAATTCTTTTATTTAATAATGGTAGCCTATTTTCACTGTTGTTATAAGCTATTTGTGGGCCCGTTCAGTGGTAAAACCGCTTATTAAATGAACCACGCAGCTTTTAATAAATTTGTTTACAGTCTTCAGTAATAAGGATAGTAGGTTGATGAACCTGTGTTGATCCTGACAGATTGCCTTTCAGTGAAGGTCCAGCTTCTTGAAAATGTTCACTGATGGGGTTAATACCACTTGTTCGAGTAATGCGTACGAAAGATCTCTGAATCCAATAAAAGTATTCGCGTTATTTTTTAATGGTGATTATAAAGTTCGTAAGCAGATTTACCTTGTAGAATCAGTCTCCTGGCGCCGCAATATTTAGGCTTCAAAAATGCAGCATTCATAATAACAGTATGCGAATTTGATGAATTGCCACTAACTTTACGGCTAGATTAATGTATTGACTACCTTTAAGTGTTACTTTGGTGACCTTAAGAAAATTCACCTAATTACAAGGGTTGGAAGAAGTCTATTGAATAGTATGAGGGACTGCGGTAGGAAACGACAGGCTTTTGTGTTCGGAATTAGGGTGAGGGTCCTCAGCACAGTGACAGTTGTAATACCCAAAATGCTGGTTAACAATATTAGAGCAGTTCACATCTAGCTAGGAGTTACTGTGTACTAAAAGAGCTTGAAAAGTATCGCAAGGGTTGGAAACAAAAAGAATAAAAGATGAGGTTAGTTGGTGAATCAATTAGCCCATACGATGCATTTACATTTAATAACATTTACAATCAACATTTAGGGATAACATTATTATTATTATTTTTATCATTATTATTATTATTATTAGCTTTATTCAATATTATATTATTTGGTACAAAATCGAATTCTCAGCATAAAACATAAACCTCAGATTAAGACAATCCCAAAACTGGCTGGAATTAGATATTCTAGCCTGTTACGAGTATTGGTGGACGAGTTTCGTTCTAAAATTAAAGACTTGTTATCTTTGGTTCTATTGTTTCGTCCATAGTTATAGTCCCGTTCAAACAAAGCCAGACTTTTAACATTCAGCTTTCAGTATGTAGTGTCTTGCCATCTCTATTTTCGGAAACTGTGATTCAGATAAACCAGTAATGAAGCCAAGCAAATCGCTTGGTCTAAGTTCAAACTCCCTATCCCATGATATAACAAATAGGCCACTCTTTTGATTATGCTCTCATGCTTTGTGAAATTCATTTTTAGGAATTAAATAATGATTTAGATCTGACGTTTTTCAATGATTCTGATGATGATCTTCTCAATGATGGTATATTCTCGGAGTTCACATCTAAACGCATTACAAAGTCCTCTGATTTCCACAAGTCATCATCTGAAGAACTTTGCCTTCATAAATCCCCATTGAAATGCATTCATCCAGCAAACAAAGTCACTCGTACTTCAAGTAAAGGAACATCCAGACATCGTAAGCTCCCTGGTCCAGCAGGTTTACTTCCAAAGGTATGCCTAAACATATTTTGTTACTTTTAATTAAGCTTCCTGAACATGGGGATTGTCAACGACATATGATTGGGTCAAAATCACCCAAAAAGGTAACAGTGAAGCATTATTTCTTCTAAAGATCTCGTTCTAAATCTTTTTAGAAGAAAGATGATACGGTATCTAGTTTGAATGAAAGCTGTCTATCACCATCGTTATCCCAAAATCAATCATCTTCAAGTCAAAGTGAAGAAGCTGCTTTGTTAAACAGACTACAGTCAGAGTGTGGTTCAACCATATGGTCGGTTGTCGAAAAATATTCCGTCAGAGAAATTTTAAAAATGGTGAAATTCATTTTCATCCAATTATTTGGTATTTCAGATCATTTCTAACCAACTACCGAAGGGTAAAATCCCAATAATGTGTGGTTTTCTTGATGAAGTAGAACTAATGCCTACTGACGCAAAAGCACTGTTAAAAGATAATTCAGGTATTAAAAATTCCTTACTACACTGATAATCATATTTTCTAGGAGTTTTGGCTTGCACAATCCACCGTTCAGTGATAAAGGAATATAAAAACGACTTGGGTTGTTGTTGCCTACTTCTCTTGAAACAGGTTAGATTTATTTAGACTATATTTTGTTTGCGTAAGATTTCACATATCGCATTCGTTTCTTTTCTTAGAATCCAATATCATTTCACCGATAATAATATTACATACTTGCATAATAAAATTACATTGAAAAGTTGAATTGCTAAATTCTGATTAGGACCTGTACATGGCATGATTCACTTCAACTTGCCATATTTCATCAGCATTCGCTTGTGTGGAATTGTCAATGCAAACAAAGACAGTCTGGTTCAGAATTTTAGCTATATGCCAAATTCATGTTTTCAGAATGCAACCACGTCACTCGCCACTACATTGAGTGGTATTTTTGAGATTTTGCACCCGGCAGCTATCATTTACAAATTCTACGTGTTTTTTGTTTATCAGCCAAGAACTAAGATTGGCAATCAGGTCTTTATTTCATCCGTGATTAAGCGACCTACCCAACCTGTATCCTACAGCTACCCATTCTATAGTCAGTCAGCTACAACGTAAGACCAGGCACATATATGCATCGGTCCAAATTGCCATACCTCGTTAGCACAACAACATGAACACCGGATTCATAGTAGTTAATTTAGTGTTGGTGGTAGTATATAAATTATAGGTTGTATATAAGGATGTAGTATAGGAAGGAAGAACGTTATGAATCAATTTTAATTTCAAGGTTTAAGGGAAGATAAAGAGTGTATACACCTACGCCATTGTAATCGATTGTGAGCCATGTCACCCAGAGTCTCCAACCATTGGTTACGATAGTCACCCGGACCCCAACCAGGTAGTCTGCATCTACCAACATGGCTCAGACTAGAAGTTAGTGACTTCAATGACTGATGCCACGTTTTGGTTTGGCAGCACCTAACTTTCTTATAACCATCCATAATACTAGTCAGCATAGCGAGTCGTGGTAATCGGTGTTCAGGCATACGTAACACGTGGCCCAACCATCTCAGTTGATGAAGATTCATGACCTCATCAACTGATTTACCATCATTCCCTAATACCCTGTGTCTAACCTCACTATTTCTTACCCGGTGATCCCAGCAGATGCGAGCAATATTTCTAAGACATCTGTGGTCAAATACTAGTAACCTACGAGTATCTTCTACTCTTAATGGCCATGTTTTGCAGCCATAGAGTAAAACAGAACGAACTGCTGCGCAGTACGCTCGTCCCTTAATTGATAGACGGATATTTCGTCTTCGCCATAGGTGACATAAGTTGGCAAAAGCCAAACGAGCTTTTTGAATCCGTTCTGAGATTTCGTCTGACACCAACCCATTAGGGCTGATCAGACTTCCAAGATAAGTGAAGTTGTTCATGCGTCCGACTACTTCACTCCCTATCCTTAGTTCAGGTGTTGACGCAGGCCAGTCCTGGAGTAACAATTTACATTTGGATGGGGAGAAACGCATCCCAAACATCCTGGCATTATTACTCAGTTCTAACAGAAGACTCTGCATTTTGTCAGTGTCTTCACCAAACAGGACTATGTCATCTGCGTATTCTAAGTCGATAAGTGAATCTCCTGGTAGAAGATCAATTCCTGAAAATTCAGTCGACGAGAGTGTTATTTCCAGCAACAGGTCTATAATGAAGTTAAACAAAAATGGGGATAGTGGACAACCTTGACGGACACCACTTGAGGTTGTAAAATCATATGACAGTTCACCATAAGCTCTCACTCGACTAATAGTGTTCGAGTAAAGAGCCTTCACAAGGTTTATGTACTTCTCAGGTACACCTTTCAATGAAAGACAATGCCACAGAACCTCTCGGTCTACAAAATCAAATGCTGCTTTCAAGTCAAGAAAAACTATCATTGTCGGACGCCGATAAGCATGACTGTGCTCTAAAACTTAGCGAATGGTGAATATGTGGTCGATACAGCCACGACCAGGTCTGAAGCCAGCCTGATTTTCTCGTGTTTGGAGTTCACGAGTCTTAGTTAGACGCCTGATAATTATTGAGGCTATCCCAACCCGTTCAGTCCAGAACACAAATTATGACCTCCGCTGTGTGAATCGTTTATTTCAGATATATGTAATTAATATATAAGCAGACCAGACCGCATCACGCCACAAAATGAAAAATAATAATTATACAAGATCAAACCAAGCATTTGCTGTGAGTATAGGAGACTGTGACTAATAGATTGGGAATAAATTAGGAATGGCAAATCGTATGATAGTGGTCAATAACTCAGATCAAAGCTTATAATAAAAGGAGTATGAATAAATATGCAGTCTAGTTACTTAATAATTACACAATAAGAATATATGTAATAAAAGTCCATAAATAGCTTTTAGCAGTTACTATTCATTTATTTTTCACTCAAATATAACACTACTATTTGTCCGTATCACTGTAACATATACTTTAAGGGCTTAAACAAACCAATGAATTCATCATCTAGATTGCTGTTATCAGAAAGCTCGTATAATCAATCCTTAGCTCTCAGGCGTGTTCGGTTTCTACATGTTTGTTGTGGAAGTTTTTTTAATTATTGAACGAATATTGATTGAAATATCAGACAAACCGTGTTAATCAAACTAACTTCTACGTAAGGTTTTTCTCTGCAAAAGTAAAAGCCAATGGATTAGACCAGTCTAAAGTCATTAACTCTAATTTTTATACTCCGACTAATGGTTCTAAACTATTTTAGAGGCCTCAAAATGTACGTCATAAGGACAACTTTATTTTCGCTTCGACCCTTTCACAACACTTGCCTACCACAATATTTAAAAGTTGACATCACAGTTCCGTTTCGTAGAAGTGATAGAGGAAGTAGCTCAACTTGGATAAATAAATTCCGTATTTGCTAGATAGCAAATCTATGCTGGACAAAAATCTGGGATTTTTATTGGAAACTTCTTAACCTCGATGAAGTATTTTAAGGTGAAGATCTGTGTATAAATCATATCAGCCAGTAAGTCACAACATGGAACTTCGTACGTACATACATACATCAGTTCGAGTTGCCATACCACATGAGCACATAGATGAAGTTGTCGATTCAAATCCCATAGTGGTAGAGGTAGTAAGAGTATAAGCACTAATGTGAAAGATTAGAGTTTGAAGATATTCAAAAAGTATAATCCAGTGAAATAAATCTTGAAAGAGAAAAAGGATACAGACATGAAGAATTCAGAAGATTATAATTTGGCAGAACACAAAGAGTGGATGCACCTTTGCTATTGCAAACGATTTTGAGCCATGTCATTCAAGGTCTCTAACCATCGGCTGTTATCGTCTTGAGGATCCCAACCAGGTAGTCTACACCTACCAACATGGCTCAGTCCAATTGCTAGTGACTTAATGGATTTGTGTCATGTTTCGGTCTGGCCGCCCCTAGCTTTCTTCCAACCTACTCCTACTCCTATATACCCGTAACTGCACATGAGACCAAGTTGGTCACATTCAAACCTTTCTACACCTACTAGTAACTCTTTTATCTCCATGATTAACCCTTCTCACGTCCTTTTATCACCTCCCACCGCTAGGGCAAACGATTCGAGTACACGAAACGTTATTCCCGGTCTCCTGAAACCACGCTGTAAACTACATGTAGGAGCTTTTAACGTCCGATCGTTGCTGCTACCTATAAATCATATGGATTTTCTCCGTTACCTTGAAAATACCTTCTCTACAGATATGATGTCGTCTGCGACGTTATGGTGGCTAAGTTTTCCTTTCTTGGATTTATAAATCTTTTTTTGTCATCATACAGTAGTTTTAAACGCAGTGAATAGTGCAATAAAAATTAAGTAACACATATTCGTTTATTCGTCACCACAATTTTTATGCCTTATGAATTTTTAGGTCACTATTTTCAGTCCAACTGGCAAAAAGTTTTATGCCAATATAACTCTTCCAAATATTGTAAAAATTTATACTCCCGAAAATACCATTATTACTTCAGCATCTGGTCATTATACAACAGCACCTCTTTCTTCTCCATTATCTCTTCGGGAAGTGGAAGCTTTAGAGGAAGATTGTTTAAGAGCCTTCTCACCACCACCAACGCCATTACTACAAACACTTCCGATATCTCCCATTTCGAAACCTATGTGAGTTGTGTATAATGTCAATCGTTAAAAATCCTTTGTGAATGTTGATTTCTATACATGTGTTACCAATTATTTATTTATTTATTTAAACACATAAATATTGGTACAAAAAGGCACCAGATAAATATGCGCCACACGAATCTCATTTGATTTGTGTGAGGGTTGTGATACTGTCCAGGTGCACAAACTGAAGCAGGTGGTTTTCTTAGAGGGCCACACTCGGAGCCTTTGACCTAAAGATCTAACCCATAAGGCAGTGGAGCATCGTGAGGTGATGCAGTTCCATTGTAGCCGGTGACCAATGATTGATTCATACACTCTTTGTTTCCTCAGGATACTGGAGTCAGCCCGTGTGCACCATTGGTTTGGAATCAGGGTTTACCGACTCCCCTAGGCGAACTTTCCGTGTCCACCAACTCGGTTAAAGCGTCGAGCATTCACTTTTGATCTTCTCAATTTCGTAAACAACATCCCCGCCAATGTATGAAATGTTTACACTAATTAAAGAGTATAACATATTTGTTTGCAAATATTTACACATCTGGTTGTGAAATTGACACTGAAACTGATTTCATCTGCTTCGAAATGCTCTGAAGTCATGAGTTTATAAACATAAGGATTCCATCCATTATACCCTGTTGTCCTGAACAAACATCATTTTATCTTGATTTGTTTTAATTAACTTACAAAAGAGATTATTTCATATCCACTTTTATTAGGCTGATTATTTGTTTATTTTATTTTATTTAATCACGTATATATTGGTACAAAAGGCACCGGATACATATGCGCCACACAAAAAAGCATGAGGGAGAATAGAATTGTAAGTTGAACGTGTCATTTCATTTATTTGCGTAAAGGCTGTGATACTGCCCAGGTGCCCAGACTGAAGCAGGTGGTTTTCTTAGGGGGGGGCACGCCCCGAGCCTTTGACCTAGAGGTCTAACCCACAAGCCAGTGGAGTATCGTGAGAAGATGCAGTCCCATGGTAGTCGGTAACCAACGATTGGTTCGTACGCCATTTGTTCCTTCAGGATACGGGAGCCAGGGTTCTCCAACTCCTCTAGGTCAATGCTCGTGTCCATCCACCCGCTTAAAGCGCTGGACATTCGCTTTTCGTCCTCTCAATTTCGTAAACAACAGTAATACCACGAGAAGGCAGTGAGTAGGACTTGTGTGGCAGGGGCTATATACGCGTGGTCATGGGAGAGCGGACTCTCCCCACTCTCGGCTGCACCAGGGCATTTGTCAGTCAGTCAGTTACAACGTAGAACTTCTTACGTACGTACATCAGTTCGAGCTGCCATACCACATTAACACGGAGATGAAGTTGTCGATTCAAATCCCATATTGGTAGAAGTAGTAAGAGTATAAGTATTATGTGAAAGATTTGGGTTTGAAGATGTTATTGAAGGAGTATAATACAATGAAATAAATATGGAAAGAGAAAAAGGATACAGACATGAAGAATTCAGATTAGAATTTGGTAGAACACAAAGAGTGGATTCACCTTCACCATTGCAAACGATTTTGAACTATGTCATTCAATGTCTCTAACCATCAGTTGCTATTATCTCGCGGATCCCAACCAGGTAGTCTACAACTTCCAACACGGCCCAGTCCACTTGTCAGCGACTTCATGGGTTTATGCCATGTTTTGGTCTGGACACCCCTAGTTTTCTTCCAAACTGCTTCTACATCATAAAGCATTGCACGTCGGGGCAGTCGGTGGTTGGGCATACCTAACACATGTCCCAGCCATCTCAACTTATGAAGTTTCAGTACTTCATCAATCGATTTGCCATCCTTACCTAGTACCAGTTTCGTAACATCTGCATTACTTACCCGGTGGTCCCAGGATATACGAGCAATGCTTCGAAGACACCTATGATTGAATACTAGTAGCCTACGAATATCCCTTACTCTTATGGGCCATGTTTCACTGCCATAAAGTAGGACGGAACGGACTGCTGCACAGTAAACCCGCACTTTTGTTGCTAGACGGATATCTCGCCTACGCCATAAATGACGCAAGTTGGCCAAAGCTAGACGAGCCTTCTGTATCCGTGCTGCGATTTCGTCACACACCAGACCACAAGGGCTGATGAGACTCCCAAGATAAGTGAGGCGGTCAACACGCTCAACTACTTCACTCCCTATCAATAGTTCAGGTTTCGATGCAACCCAATCCTGAAGTAACATTTTGCACTTCAAGGGAGAGAATCGCATCCCGAACATGCCTGCATTGCTGCTTATAGTGGTCAGAGGACTCTGCATTTTGTCAATGTCTTCACCGAATAAAACTATGTCGTCGGTGTATTCTAGGTCAACAAGTGGATCTCCCGGTAAAAGTTCAACTCCAGGAGATTGAGATGTTGAAAGTGATATCTCTAAAAGTATGTCAACGACAAAGTTAAACAAGAATGGGGAGAGTGGACAGCCCTGAAGAACACCACTTGAGGTAACCAATTCTGATGACAGTTCGCCATAGGCTCTTACTCAACCAGTTGTGTTCGAGTAGAGAGCCTTTATGAAGTTAATGTACTTCTTTGGTACTCCTTTCAGTGGCGAACACTGCCATAGAACCTCACGATCAACGGAGTCAAATGCCGCCTTAAGGTCAAGAAATACTACTATTGTGGGACGTCTGAATGTATGTCTATGTTCTAGGACCTGACGTAGAGTGAATATCTTGTCTATGCAACCACGTCCAGGTCGAAAACCAGCCTGGTTTTCTCTAGTCTGCTCTTCACCAGCTTTGGATAGGCGCCTAAGTATTATTGATGCTAATATTTTCGACACTATATTAGTCAAACTGATTCCTCTGTGATTGTCACAGGAGGACTTTTGTCCTTTCTTATAGACTGGCACAATCAGTGATTGGGCTTATTCAGATGGAAATACGTCCAATTCCCAGATTCTACTTAAGACCTCAGTCAATCTCGCTGCTAGTACTGGACCGCCATCCTTAAAAATCTCAGGGGTAAACCTGTCAGGGCCTGCGGTTCTCCCTCGCTTTAGATTTCCTATAGCTTTTTCAACCTCGTAGAGAGTTGGAGGACTTACCTCAATTTGCCATTCAGGACGACTGGGGATCGTGGGTAATTGAAGTGTGGCTGAAGTCCAGTTGAACTGATCCCTAAAGTGTTCTGCCCATCGATCCAATCTCCTGGATTGAGAATGAATAATATGCCCATCTTTGTCTGAGATAGTTTCGCTGACAGTTGGGTTCCTAATACCGGTGTTCTTAACAAGTCTGAACAGTTGTCTGCTGTTGCCTATTGCCGCTGCCTTTACCATCTCTCTTGCTTTCGCTACCCACCACTGTTCACGATCATTGCGTAGGCTTCTTATAAGCCTGCGCTTAAGTTGACTCCGCTCTTCGTTATGTTCAGAGGCAGGTGGGATGAGTTTTTGAGCATCTATCAGTGCGGTAGATGCTTCTGAGATCCATTGTTTCTCCCTAACGTTATGGTTTACCTTACTAGCGAATATCACTGCCGTTTCCACAGCTTTTCGGATGTCATTCCACGCTGCCTCGGGGTGGACACAACTTACATGGCTGCCTAACTGTTTTTCTAGTTGTTCCTGAAATATATTCTTAGCTTGCCTATCATTAAGTAGAAGCCTTAGAGGCTTCCCTGCAGTGTCTTTCCTACGACCAGTAAGACGCAGACAGATACGTGCTCGCACTAGAGCATGATCTGAATCTAAACATGTGCCCCAGAATGAGCGACAGTCTTCTATCGAGCCCCTCCATCGGTGGCTGATAGCGATTTGATCTAATTGGGTCCAACGTTGGGACGAATTCGGGGGTCGCCATGTCAAAAGATGTTTTTCCTTATGCTTAAAGTTAGTATTTGCAAGAAACAGGCGGTTATCTGAGCATAGCTGCAACAGACGGTCGCCATTATCTGTTCTTTTCGCCATGACACCATAAGATTCACCCAGGTGTCTTTCCCTACTTGAGCATTAAAGTCACCAGCCACTATCACTACATCAGAACGCCTGGCTTCTCGGAGAAGGTCAGAAAGTTTCCTGTAGAACTCATCTTTTATATCGTCTGAGCTACAGTCAGTGTGAGAGTAGGCAGAGACGACGAGTTTCCCTATCTTTCCGAGTCCTTACTGATCCGTTTAGTCGGACAGCGCATAGACGACTGTCTACTGGGATCCAGTCTAAAAGAGCTAGTTCTGCCCTAGGACTTAATGCTATACCTACTCCAGCGAGGCCACGGGAAGCAGCATCAGGGCTTCCAGATACACGAAGCGTGTATCGTGATGAAACTTTATTTTGATTAGGTGCGGTCAAATGAATGACACTACTCGGATCTTGTATGCGCGTTTCGGAGACGCAGCACACATCGATGGTGTAAGATTCTAGAGTCCTAGCTAAGGAAGCCTGTTGTCCTATTTGGCACAATGTTCGGACATTAAAAGTTCCTATATGTAGTGTAGAGCGTGGTTTCAGGAGACCAGGAATAACGTTCCGTGTACTTGAATCGTTTGCCCTAGCGGTGCCAGGTGATAAAAGGACGTGGGAAGGGTTAGTCGTGGAGATAAGAGAGTTATTAGGAGTTGGAAGGATTTGAAAGTGACCAACTTGGTCTCGTGTGCTGTTACGGGTATAAGGGCTAATATCACTTCCCGGTTGCCCACACCGTGGAAGGGTATTTCTTGAGGGACCTGAAAAAGAAGTTGGATTAGTGTTGGTCTTAACGACCTGGGAGCGGGACCGCAGTGCCCAAGGGACAACTGCTTAAGGCCGGTCACGCACGGCCTTTTTGTGGGGGATTTTTGACGTGTTAGCTTCGTTCTTCAAAGGACCTTACCGCCGGAGACGGATATCCGTGGGATAAGGCGAGGTGTGCATTTTTAGGGTCGACCTTTTCTAACCACACCCCTCCTTGTGGGAAGGCAGCATCGCTGTCATGCTGGTTGTCTGAAGGAAACACCTTACTGCTGTCATACCTCTGTACAGTCAGCAGTACGACTTCGCCTCCGGACCTTGGGATTGCTGCTTTTAGTCTTACCGCTCTTCAACCGACCTGTCTGGCATGGTAGGACCTTGAGGAACAATTGTTCCAGCCAGCATAACTCGATTGCTTCATCACGATAGGCAAGCCCGACCACCACGTCAAGTTAGCAGCAACGGTCGGGACCAGGGCATTTGGGGGCACTTTTTATCTACATGGAATTCGGTATTGCTTTACAGTACATAATAATATGGCCATCAAATTAACCAGATTCAACAAAATTATTCGAAAATAATATACCAGTCAGTCAGCTACAACGTAAGACCAGGCACATTTATGCATCGGTCCAAATTGCCATACCTCGTTAGCACAACAACATGAACACCGGATTCATAGAAGTAGTTAATTTAGTGGTGGTAGTAAATAAAAGATAGGTTGTATATAAGGATATAGTACAGGAAGGAAGAACGTTATGAAGCAATTTTAATCTCACGGTTTAAGGGAAGATAAAGAGTGTATGCACCTACGCCATTGTAATCGATTGTGAGCCATGACACCCAGAGTCTCCAACCATTGGTTATGATAGTCACGTAGACCATTCGTTCTTTCAGTGTCGTGGATTCTTTTTGTATTGTCTATATGGAATCATTTTGTTTTTTCTTATGTATTTTTTTTATAGCTCTTATAGAATACAACCACAAAGCAATCCATCTTCATCTGGTTTTAATTCAGGATTATCAATTACAAAAAGTTTTACAATGTCACAATCACGTTCCAGTGGTTTAGGTTCCTTATTAAAGTCTAATTCAATCCCAGTCAATAATAAAGTTAAATCAATCTGTGATAATAGTAATGTACAGAAAAAAGATTGTCAAGACATTATAAACTCATTATTAACATTTACAACGACTACTGTCACTTCTACGACTACTACTAATACTACCCTACCTGATTTAATAACCGTGAAAGATGATCTTTTAGAAGATGGTAATTTCCTTTTTTTGCTTTATCATTGTCACCATTATTATTATTATGTATAAAACGTTTTTTAAATGAACTTCATTTAGCAGGAAGAAGTTACAAAAACACAGTTTTGCAAGCTTTGTTACCGCTTAGTGCATTGATGTGAATTTCTCAGTCAATCGAAAGTTACCATAATATATGCAAAATACTTTACAGCGTAGTTCACTTTTCCGTACTTCTCCTTGATATCAGTTCGTAGAATCATTTCCTATCGATCTGAGCTATGTTGTTAGGTGCAGACTAACTGGTTATGGTTCGCAAGATAATTACAATCAGTAGTTGGGGATGCTGAGTAACATAGCTTAGAATTAGTCATAATGGCCCAGCTTCATTGACTATCTTTTCTAAGCTTACATTGTATAATATCGTAAAGATCTTACATTTTTAAACTTTTTCTTGACCTAACCGTATCCAAAATCGTTGTTCATCGAAATGTTCTAATGTTCGATACAAATAGATATTCCTTGTACAGGAAATGTAACAAAATGTTTTGTAAATTTCAGTCACAACGTAGAACTTCGCACGTACGTACGTACATTAGTTCGAGTTGCCATACCACATTAGCCCAAAGATGCTGTTGTCGATTCAAATCCCATAGTGGTAGAACTAGTAAGAGTAATGTGGTGTGGTCTACTTATATCCATATAAGTAGTATATGGTGTTGGTCCGACATAGAATGTATTTTGGCAGAAGACCGATGAGGAAAGAACTGAAACAAAGCGCAATCGGTAGGAAAATGCACGAACAATGGAATTAGAGAAGAAACAGTGAAGATCGAGACTATTGGTTGTTAATTTGCAAATTGACTGTCCATTGTATAGTTTTCAGAATTTACTGAGATAGTCTGTAATTTTTGCTTAAATACATTCGATTGTCCCCAACCAGTGTTCTGTGAAAGATTTTGGTTTCAAGAGTTTATTGAAGGAGTATAATACAGTGAAATAAATATGGAAAGAGAAAAAGGATACAGACATGAAGAATTCAGATTAGAATTTGGTAGAACACAAAGAGTGGATTCACCTTCACCATTGCAAACGATTTTGAACTATGTCATTCAATGTCTCTAACCATCAGTTGCTATTATCTCGCGGATCCCAACCAGGTAGTCTACAACTTCCAACACGGCCCAGTCCACTTGTCAGCGACTTCATGGGTTTATGCCATGTTTTGGTCTGGACACCCCTAGTTTTCTTCCAAACTGCTTCTACATCATAAAGCATTGCACGTCGGGGCAGTCGGTGGTTGGGCATACCTAACACATGTCCCAGCCATCTCAACTTATGAAGTTTCAGTACTTCATCAATCGATTTGCCATCCTTACCTAGTACCAGTTTCGTAACATCTGCATTACTTACCCGGTGGTCCCAGGATATACGAGCAATGCTTCGAAGACACCTATGATTGAATACTAGTAGCCTACGAATATCCCTTACTCTTATGGGCCATGTTTCACTGCCATAAAGTAGGACGGAACGGACTGCTGCACAGTAAACCCGCACTTTTGTTGCTAGACGGATATCTCGCCTACGCCATAAATGACGCAAGTTGGCCAAAGCTAGACGAGCCTTCTGTATCCGTGCTGCGATTTCGTCACACACCAGACCACAAGGGCTGATGAGACTCCCAAGATAAGTGAGGCGGTCAACACGCTCAACTACTTCACTCCCTATCAATAGTTCAGGTTTCGATGCAACCCAATCCTGAAGTAACATTTTGCACTTCAAGGGAGAGAATCGCATCCCGAACATGCCTGCATTGCTGCTTATAGTGGTCAGAGGACTCTGCATTTTGTCAATGTCTTCACCGAATAAAACTATGTCGTCGGTGTATTCTAGGTCAACAAGTGGATCTCCCGGTAAAAGTTCAACTCCATGAGATTGAGATGTTGAAAGTGTTATATACCACTATGAGATTTGAATCGACAACAGCTTCTTTGTGCTAATGTGGTATGGCAACTCGAACAAATGTACGTACCTACATGCAAAGTTCTACGCTGTGACTAGCTGACTGAGTTTGCTAAATAGTCCTGTAAACTAAAATAAAACAACACATGCTCACTAATGACTGTCTTTAAAAGATATTTCCTGGAGTTCTAGTGAGAAGCAGTAACTAGTGGAGTTGAACCAGGTCTGTTGGGAGATAGTAACTCACTGAAGACATTGGTGGATATGTCGCTCAACTCCGTGGATCGGTTGAAGTTAGATATTAACACTGTTGGATGCCGACTCAGTGGTCTAGAGATTTCGTGCTCGCACACGAAACTGATAGATCATGTGTTCGAATCTCGTGAGTCGGGATCATGGATATGCACTGCTGAGGAGTCCCGCAATAGGACGAAACGGCCATCAAGTGCTTCTAGGCTTTCCATAGTAGTCTAGCTTAAATTGATTCATGATCACAGCTATTAAAATAAAACAGTTATTCAACTCATTTTCATTATTACGTTCTAGTTGTTGATGTTAATTCATAATGAAACTTTACATCTTTTTACTAATTTCCATAGATCATCTATTCTTTTCTTTTATGTTTTAGACATGGATGATTTATTATCTAGTATAGCTGATGAAATTCCTTAGTTGGATAAATACCCCACTAATACACACACACAAAAGAGAAAGAAACAAATCGACTGACAATAAACAAACTAACTAACTAAACGGTAATCTAATCCATGAAATGGTTGTTAATTCTCTTCTCTTTTGATATGGTATATACACTAGTTTTTCTTTTCCTACTTTTCTAGATTACATTAATTATTTGACTATTTATCTTGTTACGTAATTTTGCAATCAACAAATTCATTTTTGTTGTCGGTATTGTTTCATATACATTAAAACAGATTATATATCATTGTATATAAAATGAAAAGTTACTAATGTTTAAATAGAAATTTATATTTTGTATTAAATGTTGATTAGATTAGATTATAAGTACATTGTGTTACTTTCATATTATGATGCACATGAGCTGGCTCCAGTATTTTGACGAAACAAATAGCATATGAATCAATCGAAATATATGCATCTGTCCAAGTTGCCATACCTCACTCATTAGCACAACAAGATAAACATCGGATTCATAGAAATAATTATTTAGTGGTGGTAGTAAATAAAAAATAGGTTGTATATATGGATATAGTACAGGAAGGAAGAAAGATATGAAGGGATTTTAATCTCTAGGTTTAATGGAAGATAAGAAGTGTATTCATTTACTTCATTGTGATCAATTCTGAGCCATGTCACGCAAAGTCTCCAACCATTGGTTACGATAGTCACCCGGACCCCAACGAAGTAATCTGCATCTACCAACATGTCTCAGACCAGAAGTTAGTGACTTCATGCTCTGACGACACGTTTTGGTTTGGCCGCTCCTAACTGGTCATATGAAGTGGATTAATGTAATATTACTATCATATCCACAGAGGCATAAATAAATAAGACGAGTATTTTTTTACTTGAACGCATAAATATTGGTACAATGAGGCATCGAATACATATGTGCAACACAATCCACTTGGTTTGTATGTGGGCTGTGATACTATGAGAGACTGGTAGGCCCTGGGTTCGAATCTCGAGAGGCGGGATCGTGGATGTGCACTGCTGAGGAGTCCTACAACAGAAGGAAACGGCCGTCAAGCAGTGCTTCCAAGTTTTCCATAGTGGTCTAGCTTCAATTTACTCATGATTTCAACTATGAAAATACTGAAATCTCTACAAAACCCCTTCTGACAAAGAAATAAATTTGGAAAGTAATCAGAACAATATAATATGTGAACTTCTGTATTGGATAAAAATGAAGAATGATATTATCTATACCACTGAAATCAATTTCGGACCCACTATATATTACAATTATAAAGCATTTCAAATTAAATGGATAGTAATGTGGTGTGGGTTACTTATATTCAGAAGATCGGTAAAGAAAGAACAGGAACGATGCGCAATTGGTATGAAAATTCATGAACAATAATAATCGGAGTTGATGGTCTGATATTTGCAGAAGGAACAGTCAAGATTGAGACAATTGATTGGTAGTTTGCAAATAAACTATTTGCTATATTTACTTACTTACGCCTGATACTCCCAATGGAGCACAGGCCGCCGACCAGCATTTTCCAACCCACTCTGTCCTGGGCCTTCTTTTCTAGTTCTACTCAATTTTTCTTCTCATGTCTGTCTCCATTTCTCGGCGTAATGTGTTCTTTCGTCTTCCTTTTCTCATTTGGCCTTGAGGATTCCATGTGAGGACTTGTCTTGTGACGCAGTTCGGTGATTTCATCAATGTGTGTCCTATCCACTTCCTGATTTCTTCATCCACTGGATGGAATTTGGTTTGTTCTCTCCCACAGTAGAATGTTTCTGATAGTGTCTGGCCAACGGATCCGAAGTATCTTGCGTAGACAACCGTTAATATACACCTGTATCTTCTGGATGATGGCTTTCGTAGTTCTCCGTCTCCGTCCCATACAATAGAACCGTCTTGATATTTGTATTGAAGACTCTGATCTTGGTGTTGGTTGACAGACAATTGTTTTGAGTTCCAGATGTTTTTCATTTGTAAATATGCTGCTCCGCCTGTAGCTCCTCCGGGGGCTACTACCGGTCCCAAGCCCGGATAAAGGAGGAGGGTTGGGCATGGGGTTAGCGATCTCATCCCGTAGAAAACCAACTCGCTAAAAAACGCTAACCAGAAAAAATTATTCAAACCATTTACTATTTAGTTCTCATATTTTACATTCGATTGTCCCCACTCATGATCTTGTTCACTACAGTAGAAGGTAACCTTCATCAAGAAAAGTAGAACTGTTATGATAGATCAGATAAAAGTCAATTCAAAGATTAGTTAGCTATATGAAATTAAAAGTCAGATTTAAATTATTCAAATATAAATGTTGATGCAAATGAGAACCAAACTAAATATTCGTCACACAAATAGAGAAATGAAATTGTGAAGTGATCAAGAAAAGTTAACTTCAATCAAAAATAATAAAAATGAGTGACAAGAGCAGTATATAGTGTGAGAAGTAGTTAAGTTATAAAAAAAGACAGAAAGGACTCTTTCACATAAGGTACAAAGAAGCACTAGATATATATGCCCCTCACAAATCTCATTTGATTTGTGTGAGGGCTCGGATACTGCCCAGACTGAAGCAAGTGGTTTTCTTAGGGGACCACAGCCGGAGCCTTCGGCCTGAAGGTCTAGTCCACAAGGCAGTGAAGCATCGTGAGGAGATGCAGTCCCATGGTAGCCGGTGACCAACAATAGGTTCATACATCATTCGTACGCCATTTGTTCCCTCAGGATACTGGAGCCCACGTGCACCACTGGTTTGGAATCAGGGTTTACCAACTCCCCTAGGTGAACTCGCCATGCTCACCAACCCGGTTAAAGCGCCGTACATTCGCTTTACGTCCTCTCAGTTTTGTAAACAACAGTAATGCCACAAGAAGGCAGTGAGTAGGACTTGTGTGGCAGAGGCTATATATTCGCGTGGCCATGTGAGAGCATTTCGAGAGGGAGAGCGGACTCTCCCCACTCTCGTCTGTACCAGGGCATTCAGGGGAACTCTTTCACAGTAAAAGTTCAAACTTTTAATAGAAAGTATGCAAAAATTGTAACTGGATCGCAATCAGGTTCTATTCAGACTCATGGTTGATAACGTCTCAAGCCACTAAGCTGTACTATCTCTTGGACCATAACCAGGGAGTCATGATGAGCAGATAGATGTCATACCCTGATAAAAGGTCTTGAACTTACCATTGTTCTTTTTCTAATCAATTCCAGCTTCAGGAAATGAGCCACGATTTAGAAGTCACTGAAACGACACACATAGCACTTATCCACGTCACCGAACCCGGTGTTTCAAGACGGTGACGTCAATTAGACTATCGTCACTACCCAATCATACATTGCCGAACGTAACATACGTTAATATGCACAGTAACATGAATACTGTATTCTTAAGAGTTTGTAGTTTCCCATTGTTGATACTCAAGATAAAAATTGAGTAGTTATTAAAATACGTGAATCGTGAACGGTTTGCATCAACATAACTTAGTGGTTACAATGTAAACATTAACACTAAGATGGGACGAGTCCTAGATAAGGTGAAACGCATGATCTACATTCCCTTATTAGACACAATCCAACTATACCAAAAAACCATTCATATGTTAATGAAACTATTATTATTCAATTGGGAGAAGATAGCAGACAGGTTTAACAAAAAAGAAAGAGTATTTACATGGGTAAATGGAGATTACGACGTTGAAGAAAGAACAAACGTAAAGGATAATGTAAGTGATTTACATGACCAAAGGAAATTGCATTTTTAAATGAAGATCATATGAAAACATATAGTCACATAAAAGAAGTAGTATTATACAAATACAGTTATGTAGTCATCGGTTTGTGAGAGCAAAAAAATGGCTGAAAGTATATTTTATTCTTCACCATAATGTCCACGGAGTTAAACGTAAGTGATAAACTGGAACTGCAGTAACATTAACCGGAAAATCAACTAATGCTTTTGTTAAGTTTAAATTATCCAAAGCAGTGGTTATTGAATGCCTTTAAAATTAAAGAGAGAAAAATAAAATGTAAATCTTGTTAACTATTTCCAAAATCACCTAAATCAGTTAACACTTATATGCATTCGATTAGAATTCGTTTCCTATGGAGCTTATCATTATGCTATTTATATTATATTATTATTTAAACACATAAATATTGGTACAAGGAAGCACCAGATACATATGCGCCGCACAAATCTCATTTGATTTGTATGAGGGCTGTAATACTGCCCAGATGCTCAAACTGAAACAGGTGGTTTTCTTAAGGAGCCACACCCGGAGCTTTTGACCTAAAGGTCTGATCCACAAAACAGTGGAGCATCGTGAAAAGATGCAGTCCCATGGTAGTCGGTGATCAACAATAGGTTCATACGCCATTCGTTCCATCAGGATACTGGAGCCCATTTGCACCATTGGTTTAGAATGAGAGTTTTCCAACTCCCCTAGGTAGATCCTCCGTATCCACCAACCTGGTTAAAGCGACAGACATTCGCTTTCCGTCCTCTCAATTTCGAAAAAAAAACCTCGCTACGAGAAGGCAGTGAGTAGGATAAATATTTACTAATTAGTACCAGAACACTTGAAACTATTGAATGAGTGATACTCTGTGACACGCTAACAAATATCTACAGTGTGAAATTGATGAAATTTAGCCACTTAAAGGTTGTTAAATTGCGACTTAAAGAAACAGAACTAATATCATTAGGTTATTTGGTCTTCGAGTTTGCCTACTATTCTGAAGCCTAATCAGAAAGTCTCTAAATGCCAGTAGAGTTCGACCAAACAATCAATGACCCCACAGGTTGATACTCAACTTTGATTTGATTGCTTTTGACTTTTTTCAATAAACCAGTCTTAACCAGGATGGTTCACAGAGGTAAGCAGTGGGTTGACCTGAAAAACACATGTACTAACTACTTATGTTGATAAACATTCACAAACCCATCAAACATCTGTAACTTTCGTCCGACGTCTAATTTTGGCATTACTCGGCATTTCCATCACACGCGATAAGTAAAATATGGGCAAACTTGAAGAACCATCCTTTACAATTGCATATATACTCGCTCCTTGATTAGCAGACAGGCAGTGTACATTGGCAGAGGTCAAGGAAGCTCTAGTACGCGTGTTACTGGCTCGCCACATACGACGACATTTCCAAGATAATGTAATAAGATTATCAGAACTGATAATCTTCGTCTTCTTATCACATTATCAAGATTTATCAAAGGGACCAATCGCTCTAAATTTCCAAGATAAACTAGCCAAAATGCACCAATACATCAATTCAAATGGTTAAAATGAATCCTATAACAGGACAGTCCTGAAAAGGCATTACTTATTTGAAAGTGGAACTGTCACTCTGAGTGTTTATAAGATAGCACTTTCATACCATCTCTGAGAAGCAAAACTGTCATTAACATACCCTGATGATGAAAGTCACCAGTTAACTTAATTATGGAAGTGGGAGAAACTAATTTATAGTACTCATTAGGTGGATGGAAATTTATTGGTTGGTTAAACGCAACCCAGAATCTTGCACACGTACAATTATTTAAATTCTTATACTTCATTACCATAACGAAATGAAATTGTCAGGGCAAACCCCAGAGTACTAAAAGTAGTAATACAATTAACATTAACAGAAAAGCTTAAGCATCGAAGATATAATCCGAGAAATTATAGATTAGAGGAAGAATAACCTAGAAAGGTTTATGAGGAATCCGGAAACCTAGGTTCTGGAAAAAGACAGAGATTGCATTTGCGCCATTTCAAATGGTTTTGAGCCATGTCACCCAAGGTCTCCAATCATCGTTTACGATAATCATACGGACTCCAACCAAGTAGTCTACACATACCTACATGGCTCAATCCAACAGTCAGCATCTTCAAGAACTGGTACCATATTTTGTTTTGGCCACCTTGAGCTTTCTTATAGCCTACTACTGCATCAGAAATCATTGTGCATCCTGATAGGTGGTGGATAAGCACACGCAATACATGTCCCAAGCACTTCAGCCGACAAAGGTCAACCGATTTACCAATTTAACTGCCGTCTTTACACAGTATTCTGAGTCTCACTTCAGAATTTTTAACTAGATGGTCCAAAAATAAACGACCAATGATTCGAAAATACATAATATTACTAGTGGCTTTATTTAATATACATGACTGATGGATGTACACTACTTTTCAATGTCACGTTTCACATCCATAAAATGAGACGGAACTACTGCGCAGTAATTTCGTCGTTTGGTTAAAAGACGGATATCCCACCTACTCCACAAGTCACGTAACTCGGCAAAAGCTAACAAAGACTTCCAAGTGCACGCCGAAATCTCGTCAGATACCACCATATAAGAACTAATGAGACTCCCAAGATAAGTGAAACGATCGATACATCCAACTAATTGACTCCCTATCAAATGCCAGTGTAAATCACTCCCGAGGCAAGATTTTGCATTTGGGAGTAGAGAAGCGCATCCTAAACATCCTTGCTTTATTTGATGTGGTCAAAAGACTCTGAGTTGTGTCAGTGTCTTCGCCAAACAGAACTATGGTTTGGTGTTTAAACTTCATGAACTTGAACTCTCCCGTTTATATTCGTCAAATGTATACTGGTCATTTATAGTTCAATGATTTGTCTCTACACAAAATATAGTTTTATATGAACTTATTAAACAGGGAATACCTAAAAAGAGAATGGATCGCATCTTAAAATTTTTATTTCCAACGAGCTACAAGCTCTTTGCAACCAGCCTGAAGGTTCAGAAGTGACTTTTAAATAAACTGATTTTCGTATCACATGGGAGTAGTCTTTCTAACAAGATTAGTGGCTAACAAAAGCTAAATAAATGACTTTGTCCACCAAAACATCTTAGAATTAGAAAGAATACAAGATACATACCCATCTTTTCCATTCATAAACGCACATGGTATCTGAACTCGTCTGGAAGTATCATCCTGAATCATGCTAAATGTGTGGACTGCCTTGCGGTTAAAATCATAAACAATCACAGCAACTGCACCGGCAACGTGAGCATTAATAGCTTTCGTGACGAAACTGCAACCTCTGTTTACACTGAAATGATACTGATAATTACCTACCCACGAATTATGAGAGCAATATTTCGATTAACTTCATATGCATTATTTATCAGCTCACATGCGTGAGGAGGTTCTGTTAGCACTAATGAGGTAGATGTAAATGTTGTATTCTTAAATAAGTTGAAGTCAACAAGAAAGACATTTACGTACAAAATGAGGTCCTATTTGACCAGGACTTAAGCGATATGTAAACGGCAGTGTTGATGGATTTATCACCCGAAGATGTAAATAATCACTTTCTCCTAAAACATATTCAATAAAGTTAAAACTAATGAACTTAGTGAAACCATTCGATATATTTATGAGGAGAAAAACCAACTCAAGCAACAGTAACATGCATGAATCCAGACTAAATAACCCGCTTCAGCAATCCAAGGCAGTGTGAGTAACCTCTAGGTCAATTCTTGGGTGTCTGCAAATGTCTTTTGATCTATTATGTGAGGCATCTACTTTCAAATCGTTACTTACCTACTTACGCCTGTTACCCTTCGTCGAGGAGCCTAGGTCGTCCACTAGTATCCTCCATCCAACTCTGTCCTGGGCAAACCTTTCCAGTTAACTGGAACTACCGTCGATTTTCCCTGTCATAAGCCCTTGAATCGTAAAAACAAGATCAACAAGATATTAATGCATTTAATGACATCCACCTATCTGAGTATCCGAGATGCATACAGGGTTCTGAATGAATTTCGCCTTCTCATACCAGACTTGCCGACGAGTATTAGAAGTCTCTCGAGGACGTGCACAAGTGTACAACCGAAGTCCATCAGCAGTGGGGTTTACTACCATCTTGGATTGAAGACCAACCTGCTAAGATATGTTGAACGTTGGTTGTGTACTTGTGATTTTGACACTCTACAATTGTATATTAATGTAGACGGGCTTTCTATATCAAGGAGCTCCAGTCAACATTTGTGGCCTGTATTAGGGAGGATCGTTGCCCCTAGACTTAGTGATGTTTTCATGATAGGGATCTACGGAGGGAATACTAAGTCGGCACAACTCAACGAAATTTCTGCCGATACTATTTCTGAAATAAAAGAAATGACTGAAACGGATCTACTTAGTGTTAGGTTCAATAAATACATAATTATTAAGTTAACTGCAGTAATATGTGATGCACCGGCTCGTTCTGGTGTTAGGTACATTGTTAATCACAACGGAAATTCAGGTTGCGACCGATGTGTTGTAAATGGTAGACGACTTGATGGAAAGATGACTTTCCCAAACGATGAATATACGTTAAGAACTGACGACAGTTACAGGAATCAGACACAATCTGTTCACCATCAAGGACATTCTTTATTCGAAAGTCTGCCAATAGACACGATATCAACTTTTCCCTTAGATGCCATGCACATGGTTTACTTAAGTATCACAAAGAAACTTGTGACTCTCTGGATAGAATTAGGACACAAGAGGCTAAAGACCGTGAACTCATGTGTAATTAGGACTATAAATAAGTTGATATCTCGGTGCATAGAAAGTACTCCCTCTGAATTTCAGCGTAAATGACGAACACTAGACTACGTATCGGTATGGAAGGCGTCGGAGTGTAGGTTGTTTCTTCTATACTTAGGCCCGGTTATTCTTCAAAATATTCTGCCTGAACCTTTGTATCTAAATTTTAAACGTCTTGCTTTGTCTATTTACTTGCTTGCACATCCTCAGTTTTACAATAGGGTTATAGAATCTGTCAGGATGGATTTAAAGAATTTTCGAAGAGAATATGGTGTTACGGATGTGAGAATTTAGTTTATAATGTGCATTCCCTACAGCATCTTCCTGACGATGTTCTTGCACATGGACCGTTAGATAGCTACTCGGCATTTCCATTCGAGTCTTATATGAAACAAATTAAGAAATCCGTACACAGTGGATATTCCGTGGCTAAGCAAGCAGCTCAGCATTATGCGGAACAAATGTTTTTTCTGCGATAGGCTCCAGGTTGACGTTTCGACTAATGATAACCCAGTGATAGGTAAATCTGGCTCACGCAAGCAAGTAATAATGTTCAGGAATAGTCAAATAAATTCATTTAAGCCTGATAATGTTGTAGTAGTCAACGGAAAGCCGGGGTTAATAACTGATATTCAAGAGAGTGGATTCTTAAAATTCAGGCAATTTACTGACCCACAAAATTACTTTGAAGATCCATTACCTTCCACTGACATAGGAATATTTAAATTCTCCGTAGTTAGCAGTGATTACAGTTGGGTTTCGATTCATGATGTTGACTGTAAATGTATGTCGATAAATTGTGTTAATCATTCGGTTACTGTTCCTTTGTTACACACTGTTATGTGATTGTATTTCGTTTAATTTCCTGTTATGTAATATTTAGTCTCCCAACAATAAATACGTAATCGTTAACGCACCAAGCAAAAATAAGTTGGTGGTTGCAGCCGGACATTGGGTTATTGTAGAAAAACTATGTCTGTATCCAAGGGAGCAGATTGATCTGCATCTGCAAAACAATGACTTACCTAAAGAAAATTGGTCTATGTTCAAGTGCAGTGTTGTCCACAAATGCGGTTAGTTACAAACATGCAAACGATCGCTTCTTACAGATAGTCTCAAATCTGCCAATGATTTGTTGGCATCGTTCCAAAAATGCTATGTTACTAATAAGAACTCTTCGCCAGACGAAAATACGTTGCCATTAAACACGGAGAAGCAAAAGAGATCAGTTCAATAATCTTACTAAAATTTCGTAGAGGCGCATTGAAACGTAAGGAAGGTTTTCTTTACAATTCCGTTGACATGAATGTCGCAGAGATGCAGGCTGAGAATAGCCGCGTTCAATATCCAAAGCTTCGGATGTTTAAGAATGTTGTCTCTCCAATTGCCAAGTAAGTTTCTTTAATTTGGACATGTCAATTAAGTAGTTCAACACAATTAGACACCTCGCCCTCTACGTCCGATGATCCTAAAACTTCCATGCGTTATCATCTGTCCTACATCATGACACCTGAAGTCGCTATTAATTTCACGCTACTTGGTACTTCATTAAAATGAGCGCTTCAGAAGTGCCAGTTTTATGACTGCGTTCAAAGTAAGATAAATAAGGTTTTCAAACTTCAGGTGCACTGACTAATCGATTCCTGTAGTCATCTGTCAACGAGAAAGACCTTGCGAAACTGTATGACATGGCTACGCAGTTATTTTCACGACATGAGAGACAAAGTGCATAAGCGTCATCGACGGAAGAAAGAACACGTATGTACGACTTTAAAGTGATTATTGTTTTCGCCTTATCTATATGTAGAGTCTTCCGTGTTCGAGGACATAACCGTATGTTCAGCTTCAAGTACCTAGTTGTGCAAAACAAGTTTCCTAGATATAGTAATGTTTTTCTTCATTACATTTTAGAATTCACAAGAATTATTTGAGTCTCCATAGTTCAACAGGCCTGGTGGAAAGAATGAATACGTGAAATGGCTGGTTGTACATTGATTAACCTTTTGTTCTCAATAAAAATTTGGAAATTATACCATATTTTACGTACTTCACATTATTCGTCTGCTGTGTTGTGGGAATGAAGGCAAACACAGGAGGCGGTTGGTTTAAATACATCAGTGTGTAAGTGGTAGAAAAGTAGACAATGTAGCGGATATTTAGGCTAATAATCGGCAAGTCGTCGAATATTTAGGATAAAAGTCGGCAAATCGTCGAATATTTAGGGTAAAAGTCGGCTATTCTTCGGATATTCAGGGTAAAACTCTGCAATTTAGCGACATTTGAAAAACAGAGTGACAGAAAGGGGAAATTCCGCTTTATTTCCCCCGGACAGGCGAAAAAGCAGACATTTTGGCGCATTTCTCCTTTATTTACGACTTATTGTCCAATGCATTTTCCGCTTTATTTCCCCTTTGTTCGCCTTTATTTCCCCTTTATTGGTTGCTTGGCTTCCTTCCAGTTAACATTCATCCTTTTTATATCTGCTTCTATTTCCCGACCTAACGTGTTCTTTGGACTTCCTCTTTCCCTCTTTCCTTCAGAACTTCAAGTTAGGGCTTGCCTCGTGATGCAGTTCGGCGATTTCCTCAATGTATATCCGATCCACTTCCAACGTCTTTCCCGAATTTCCTCTTCAGCTAGAAGCTGGTTTGTCCTCTCCCATAAAACGCTGTTGCTGGTGGTATCCGGCCAGCGAATGTTGAGTGTTTTGTTTATAAACACTCGTACATTCTTGACGATGGACGTAGTAGTTCTCCACGTTTCAGCTCCATACAGTGGGACATTCTTGACATTCGTACTAAAGATTCTCACTTTAAAGTTAGTTGACAGTTGTTTTGAGTCCCATATGTTCTTCGATTGTAGAAATGCGGTCCTTACTTTGAGAATCCTTACATCCTCCAGTGTGCTTCAAAATTTTTTGTTGATACAAATATCATCTATCTGGCTCTCTGTGGTATGATCTGACTAGGTCCATTTACCTATGTGTATGTGCTGGCTTGAAAATATTGTGCCACTCATAACCGATCTGTTGAATGCACATATATTTGCAAATCTCTCCCCATTTTCATTTCTCTCTCCCAATCCCTGTCGCCCCATGATATCTTCATATCCTGTGTTGTCCACTCCGACTTTAGCTTTTAGATCTTCCATCAGGATGGTGAGGTCCTTTCTTGGGCACTTAGCTGTAATTGATTGCAGCCTTGAGTAGAACTAATCTCCATCGTCCTCATTGCTGTCATTGGTAGGTGCATAACACTGGATATCATTCATTATAATTCCCTCCTTTGTTTTGAATGATGCTTTGATTATACTGGGTCCATGAGATTCCCATCCCACAAGTGCATTTCGTGCTTCTTTGGATAGCATTAGAGCAACTCCCTAAGTCTGTGGAGCATTTTCCCCTTTGTGACCGGAGTACGATCTTTTTCTGTCCAGCATTGCACAATCAGGTTTCACTGATTCTGAGTACCGTCAATTTGATTTCAGTATCTATTTGGTTGGTGCTCTCGATCTGCCACATTGTCCGAATACTTCATGTACCTATAAAAAGTGTTCCTCTGGTTGTTAGAAGGTGCATCAGCCTCGTGACTTCCGAAAAATCTCGGATTTCATCATGAGGCGTCATAATTCTTCCTTCAACTCCCAGGACAAAGTTTAAATGGTTTGAATTATTTTTTCTGGTAAGCTTTTTTTAGCGAGTTAGTTTTTCTACGGGATGAGGTCGCTAATTCCATTTCGAAACCTCCGCCTTTAGCCGGGCTTAGGAACGGCAGTAACTGTAGAAGAACTACAGGCCAAGTTCTTTCAAATCGTATTTCCAGAAAAATGATCGTCGACTATTCGCTGTAATGGTTCAAGCATTCATGGCAAAATGA